CTTTTATATGTTATGTGGTCTTTTGAACCTTCAATTTTTAATATTCTTTCTTTGTTATGCATGCTTAGGGGTTTGTTATTTTGTGTTGTGGGAATTTCTTTTCTGGTCTAGTCTATTTAGTGTTTTGTATGCTTCTGATGCCTTGATAAGGCATCTCCTTCTTTAGGTTGGGGAAATTTTTTCTATGGTTTTACTAAAAAATATTTTCTCTGTTTTTGAGCTGGATTTCTTCCTTTTCCTCTATCCCTATTATTCATTAATTTGGTCTTTTCACAGTGTCCTAGATTTCTGGGATATTTGGTGCCTGCATTTTTAAAGATTTAACATTTTCTTTGGCTGAAGTGTCCATTTCTTCTACCTTATTTTCAATACTTGAGATTCTCTCTTCCACATCTTATACTCTGTTGGTGAGGCTTACCTCCGTGGTTTTTGTTTTACTTACTAATTTTTAATTTCCAGTTTTATTTCAGTTTGGGATTTCTTTAGTGACTCTATTTCTTTGTTAAATTTTACTTTCATGGCTTAAATTGTTTTTATTATTTTATTCATCTCTCTGTGTCTTAATAATCTTAATCAAATGATTTATTCCTATCATCTTTAAGGTCCTTGAAAATATTAATAATTGCTATTTTGAAGCCCCTGTCTTGTGCTTTAGCTATACTGCATTTTTCAGGACCTACTATAATAGGGTTTTGTCTTGACTGTTCATGTTCCTATCTTTGTGCTGGGGTCTAGGCTTTTGGAATTAAGATGTAGATTCCACAGGGAATGGAAGTGTTGTGGGAGGAGGCCACAATAGGATAAAAAATAAGTCTTAAGACACAGTGATGAAAGGGCTTGGGGACCCAGTGTCTGTGCCAAGAGGTGAGGTTTCAAATAAATGTAGTCAGGACTCCTGCAAACAGGTTGCTACAGGGTGAAGAGTAAGTCTATACAGAGTGTAATAGAAGCTTGAAGGGATAGTAAAAATTGCCTACCTGAGCTCCAGCCCAGTGTACCTACTGTGGCTTCCTGGTAGAAAGTATTTCTGGGTATAACAGGTGACAAAAAGGAATGGAGGTTGGCTAGAAGGGGAGGCAAGGAGGACTGGGAAGAAAGAGTTCAGGTGAGTCCATAAAGTTCTTAACACCAAGAATTGTGCTCACTGTAGATGATTAAAACAAAATATAGCTCTTCTTGTGGCTCTTTCTGACGAAGACAAAACATAATTTGTCCAGTAACTTCAAGGGTGAGCATTATCCACATTTTTGTAGAAATATCCTGCCATTATCATAAAGCTGTTGACAGAAGTTTCTGTCCTGCCCAGTCCCGCAGTTGTTCAGTCCCAACAAAACACACAGAGGTCTATATTAATTATAAACTGGTTGAACTATTAGCTCAGGCTTCTTATTAACTAATTTTTACATCTTAAATTAGCCCATTATTCTTATCTATGCTAGCCACATGGCTTGGTACCTTTTTCAGAAAGGCATTCTCATCTTGTTTCCTCTGTGTCTTGGTAACAACTGTAGACTGACTCTTTCTTCTTCCCAGAATTCTCCTGTTCTCATCACCCCACTTCTACTTGCTAACTGGTTGACCCACCTATAATTTCTGCCTGGATACTGGCCAATTAGCATTTTATTAAAAATAATACAAGTGACAGGATAAAAGACTATTGTCCCACAGCATGTCTGCCCTCTTTAAAAAAGAACAAGAACTCTGAATCTAATATCCTTTGTTTAGCTTTTTGTGCATATCATTATCCATAACATCTTGTAACCAACACTCTAAACAAAAATAAATATCCATAATCCAGTTTTTTGGGAATGTGGGCAAAGTTTTCTTGGCTACTTCCTGCTGATATGGGACACTGATAATCTTATGGGGACCTAAAGAAAATTTAGAATTATGATCAAGTCCTGACTGAAGCATCCAGTGAGGCTTGATCATCTCAGGCAGCAGTCTTGAATTTGTTCTGGATGTAGAATTCAGATATCTGGGCCATCCGCTCCTATCAGAGATTTCTCAAGAGTTCTTCCTTGATCAAACCTAATTTTTCTTAACCCAGAATGAATCCACAGCCTCTTATTTCTTGTGAAACAAAAGCAAAATCTTTTCTCCAAAGTAATATACCTTTTGACTTAAATTTTGAAGTCAAGGTATTTTCAAAATATGTATGTTTGATTAATCCAGCAGCATTTATAATCAAATATCTTGTAGCAGTTTTTGCTCGTTCCTCAGTCATCAAACAATATAAAGATCACACAACAACATACAGTATCCAGACTCTGTGCATTTTCGTCTTTAAGTGGCTTTATTTTAAACTCTATTTTTTAATTTTTATTTTTAATTTTTGGCTTTTTGAGATAGGGTTTCTGTGTGTCTTTGGCTGTCCTGGAACTCACTCTGTAGGCCAGACTGTCCTTGAACTTACAGAGATTTGCCTACCTTTGCCTCTCAAGTATTGGGATTAAAGGAGTGTGACATCATACCCAACTACTCTCTTTCTTTTTTATTTTAAGGACTTTATTCTTTTTCTTTTCTCTTCCAAGCCTACAGATATTTTTAAAAACACTGTAAACCATTTAGAGGTTCTCTTTGTCTTTGAATCTGTCTTTACTGTATATCTCTCTTTTTCTGAACACATGAGTCTTTAATTTGCTAAGAAATATGGTTAGTTAGTATTAAAGCTGTGTCTTTGAGGGCTGGATCCACCCCATTCCTTAGCTTTCTAAGAGTCTAGCCTCATGGCAGAGGTATTGGTCAGAGCCATGTTTATTGCCACAACTCTATGAAGTTTCAAGATCCCTGCCACCACCAAAAAGCATGTTATCAGCTACTCATAAATACTATTTTAGTGTTTGGTGGTGGGGCCTCTTAAAAGAGCTGCAAGGTTTTTGCTTCTAAAGCTGAGTCAGGAAGCCTCTCTTAAATGAGGTACACTTGCCTCTAGCAAACAGAGCCCACCTGAGAAAATGCTACCAAGAAGCCATGCTGAACTCTGTTCTTTTTTTTTTTTCTAGAATTACTTCCCAAGGTCTCTCAGGGTTTTAAGTGGATTTAGCTGTCTATGTTGGGTGCCATTCTGTTGACAGAGTTTTCTGTCACACCTGGTCCTGCAGCTGTTCAGTCCCAACAAAGCACACAGAGGTCTATATTAAATATAAACTGGTTGGCCTAGTAGCTCAGGCTTCTTATTAATTAATTCTTACATCTTAAATTAGTTCTTAATTCTTGTCTGACTTGGTACCTTCATCAATGAGGCATTCTCATCTTTCTTCCTCTGCGTCTGGATGACGACTGCAGACTGCATCTTTCTTCTTCCCAGAATTCTCCTGATCTCATTGCCCCACCTCTACTTCCTGCCTGACTGCTGGCCAATCAGCGTTTTATTAAAAATAATACAAGTGACAGGATTAAAGGCCATTGTCCCACAGCATAAAGCTAGTGAAATGCCATACAATTTCATTATTTTTCTCATACACTCTATTATTTTCTACTTCATTTTCAAATCTTCCTGCTGCCTGTAATACAGGATGATAGTTGATGGGTCTCCATGAAATAGGGCATATTAGTTGCTATTCTGACTTTCTCCTGTTTGCTTTAGGTTATAGTCATATTATTTTAATAGCACTATGATACCAAACAGTTCTGTGACTTTTAATTGCTCTCTGTTTTTTAATAACTAAAAATTCATACAATACATTTTGATCAGTTTTTATCCATCTCCTCTCAGATCCTCCTCACCTGCTTACCCACCTGACTCCGTGCCTTCTTTATCTCTGAATCTCTTTAGAAAACAGACAAATAAAAACATCAAACAAGCCAAATAAGGAAAAAATGTGGAAAAGCACAAGAGAAACAAATATGCAGAATGCTCATATACAAAACCCAAATTCATAAAACCACAAAACTGGAAACAACAATATACAAACAAAAGACCAATAAGATAAAAATTTCCCAAACAAAGCAGTATGAGACAAAAAAAGTCTACAAAAAAAAAAAGACATGGCTGAGTTCATTTTGTGTTGTCTGCATACTGTTGGGCACAGGCTCTGCTCTTGAGTGTGATTTGTATACCAGTGAGATGCTATTGTGGAAAACTGATTTTTCCTTTGCAAGCAGCTGCCAATTGGAGAGAGCGTCTTGGTTCTGGAAGGGAGATCATGTCCATTTCCCCTGTCACCGCTGAGGTTCTGTCTAGCTTGAGCCTGTGTAGGCCCTGCGCATGCTACCATAGACTCTGTGATCTCCTAAGTGAGTCTATCCTGATATGCATGGAAGACATTGTTTCCTGGGTGTCAGCCATCCTTTTTGGCTTTCCACCTCCTCTCAAATGCAATCTAGTCCTATCATAGCTTAATGTCGCAGGGTTGGATAGATTCTTGTACATTGATACAAAGTTAAATTATATTAAATATTGTATGCATGTATGCATACAATTATTTATGTATTGATATATATATACATATATATATATTTACCATATTGCAGTGTACATTGCTACCTCTGATCAAGATACTTATACACTGTTTACATTTGAAGATAATTGTCCTTATCTATTGCACATATATTTATTGTCTTAGCCTTTTAGTTAGAAGATAGGTATTGAGAATTATATATCAATAGTCATATATGTTTGTCATATTTATAATTAGACTAATCAGGTTCTTTAGATACACAGAGATTATATTCGGTATAGATAGTCTTCAACCTCTTCAAAGAGCTGTATAAAATGGCCTTTTATGTAACTTAGAGTTCCGTGGTAGTGAGACACAATCGCTCCTGGCAACACTGATCTATTGCTGAGAGAATGTTGAGCCCAAAGACAATCTACCTGGAGCCTTTCTTCTTGGCAGAACTTGTCTTTGGGCAAAGAAATGCCCATACCTCAACCACTGACAGAGATACAGAGTATCCGTTAATGGATAAAACAGGACTGTCATATCCTGCCAAGACAGGGTAAGATAGTTTTGAAAAGTTTCTTGCCTTTGAAAATGGTATGTCAATTATGTCAGGGCTTAGTCAAAGTTGGTTGCTTCAACATTGCAAATGAGTCTTTGGGCGATTGCTCAGGTAGCCAGTTGTCTCTGTCATTTTTTGCACATTTTGGAAGTTTTTCGTTTGTACTTCCTGTTTACTCAAGTAATATTGTTTCCCTTCTCAGATCTTTGATGGAGTTAAAGATTAGATCATTGTAGTTACCTTCCTCATGATTTAACCAAGCTTAATTTCAATGCAATATTTAGACTCCTTGAAATAAAATGTTTAATAAAACTTCTGTTATACATTCCTTGCTTTATATTGTTTATTGTTTGTAATTTTATATTTGGTATCTGTTCTATTCTATATAGCTGTATTGGGTTTGGATCGATCTTGTTTAGACAAAAGGGGGAGATGATGGAGAAGCTCTGTCCACCAATCACATCTAGTTAAGGCGTGGCTACCTGGAACCCAGGAAGAAAAACTGGGAAGACCTAGGTGCTCTCTCTCTCTCTCTCTCTCTCTCTCTCT